ATGGTAATTTTTGGCCTTTATTTTTTTGTTAATTTGTAATGTCATTGTATTATGTTTGGAGAACATAGAGTGTGTGTAACTGAGCCTTTTGATTTTATTGAGGCTTTCTTTAAAGCCATAATCATGTTGCCTTCTTGGAATTTTTTTGTTATCTTGAGTGGTTCTTTGTTCTCTTTTGGATATAGAATTCTACTCTGTATATCCAATAGCTTGAGCTTTTTAGTTGTATTCTGCAAGTACTCTATGTCTCTTAATTTTTTTTTTTTGTATTCTTGATCTACTATTTTCAAAGTAGAGTGTTAAAATATCCAAGTGTTCTTTTTTTCTCTTATGTTCTGCTTCAAGCAAAGTACATCAAGCAAGATGCATTTCAAAACTGTATTATACAATGCATATGTTTATGATGTGTATATCTTCTTTTGTTCTTTGTCACTTAATTCTATTTTGTCAGATGTTGAAAATGCTACTCCAGCTTTGTTTTGGTTCCTATTTGTTTAATATATCTTTTCCATTCTTTTTTTTTGTTTGTTTATGTCTCTTTAAGTGTGTCTTTTTTAGACTGAATATTGTTTGAATCTTTTGTTTTAATCCAGTATGTAAGTTTGTCTTTTAATTGGGAAGTTTAAAAAAATTGGTAAGTTTAATTCATGTACATTTGTTGTAATTAATTATACTTTTATTATTTTTTAAATTTTATTATTGTTGACACACAGTGTTACATTAGTTCAATGTGTACGACTTAGTGATTCAACAACTCTGTATGTTATGCTATGCTCACCACTAGTGTAGGTGGCATTTCATTTTTTACTTTTCATTTATGGTACTCTCTTTTTTGTATTTTTTTTCCTTTTTTGTTTTCCAGTGGATAGATTGTTTTCTCCTGTTTTATAGAAAGTTACATATTTTCTTACCCTTTAACTTAAGATCCAACATCATGTTATTCACCCCTGTTGATTTTTACGCATACAACAACTGCAACCTCTCTCAATAAGATAAGTACCGTAGCAGGCTATTATGTTTTATTTATCTTCCTTCCACACCTTCCCAATCAGGTAACATCATCTAAACTTTTAACCCTTCCTAGAATCCATATTTTCTTGTTAGTTTTATTGTTTCTCCACAGCTGATTTAGGAAACCCAGACCATAGTAGTTTGCTACCTTGGCGGGAATTAGAAAGCCTGAAAGAAGTTTTGTGGCAAATTAAGAGCATTTATCCTGCTTTTAATTATCCAACTTTAATCATAGGTGTCAGTGAGTTGATAATTCAATCAGTGTTTCCCCCCCAAATAACAGGTAGAAAATGTGAAATACCTGGATTGTTATGTGTGTAAGAAATCTGTTGATGGGATTCTATATCTTACTGCAACCCACCTGATATATATGGAGGTTTCTGGTGTAGCCCAGAAAGAAACATGGGTATGTTCACAAGAAGAAGTATCAGAGGGTCTAAAGAGTTGTGTTTATTTGCTTTCTAATATGGTAGTTTCTTGAAATTTCAAGTAACAGTTAAATTGCTATAAAAACTTTTCTTCAAAGAACCTATTTTATGTTTTTTTTTTTATAGATTGAATCACATGACTCTTTGTCCCTGATGTTATTGACTATGGTCATCTTAGTCATTTAAAGCCACATGGGGGGCGCCTGGGTGGCGCAGTCGGTTAAGCGTCCGACTTCAGCCAGGTCACGATCTCGTGGTCTGTGAGTTCGAGCCCCGCGTCAGGCTCTGGGCTGATGGCTCAGAGCCTGGAGCCTGTTTCCGATTCTGTGTCTCCCTCTCTCTCTGCCCCTTCCCCGTTCATGCTCTGTCTCTCTCTGTCCCAAAAATAAATAAACGTTGAAAAAAAAATAAAGCTACATGGGATTTTTCCTAAATATTTTTAGGTAGTGTGCTCTCTGTTCATTTTCTGAGCCTAGTTGGTGAGCATCCTGAAACAATTTAAAACCTTGCTACTTATAAAGTGTGGTCCAAGAACCATCAGTATCTGTGTCACCTGGGTGCTTGTTAAAAATGCAGAATCTCAGTTCTGAGATTCTAAATTTCTAAAAAGCTCTTAGGTGGTGTAGATGCACCATTGACTATACCTTCGGTATCAATTATTTGACCATCTTTCTGATCTAAGACAGGTTATGCTTTCATGTGTGTATGTGTTTCTTTTTGCACCTTTAAACAAAGTTTTCTAATTAGTTAAATACCCCTAACATTACTTTATGTCTTCCCCATCCTGAAGTAGCATCATTGAATCTTAATCATTAGCCAGATTTATGCTTAGACCTCCTTGTTTATAACAAGTATAACATACTTGGTATATGGCATAGCATAGTGATTAAGATCACCAACCTGAGAGCCAGTCTGCTCAGGGTGAAATTCCAACTTCAACATTTATTACCTTTGTAACTGTAGGCAACTTATTTAATTTCTTAGTGTCTCACTTCTCTCACGTGTAAAATAGGGATAATAATAATAATACCTTGTTATGGGAATAAAAAACTTAATAAGTGTTTAAAACAGTGACTTGCACATGATACATACTACAGTAGACCCCCCCCCCCCCACTTATCTACAGGGGATATATTCCAAGACCCCCAGTGGATGCCTGAAACTGCAGAAAGTACCAAGCCCCATGTATACTATGATTTTTCATATACATACATACCTAGGTAAAGTTTAATTTATAAATTAGGCACAGTAAGAAATTAATAGCAATAACTAATAATAGAATAATTATAACAATATAGTTTTGTTTATGTGGTCTCTCTCTCAGAATATCTTCGTATACTGTACTCACCCTTCTTGTGATGATGTGAGATAATAACATGCTTATGTGATAAGATGAAGTGAGGTGAATGATGTAGACATTGTGACATAATGTTAGGCTACTATTGACCTTCTGATATATCATAAAGAGGATCATCTACTTCTGGGCTACAGTTGACCATGGGTAACAAAAACCATGGAAAACAAAACTGTAGTTAAGGTGGGGGTGTACTGCTGTATTATATAAGTATAAAATATGAATATACGTATGAAAGAAGTATTTTAACACTTGCTTTTTAAAATACCATGAACTTTCCCCATATGAGGTTGTAACTTGCTCCCTTTGGTTGTGCCAAAAGAAGAATCAGGAGAGCTAGTTTTAGCTAGAGTCAGCTGTCCATTAACTGGCTGTATGGCCTTAAGCAAGGGACTCTTGGTCTCTGGGCTTCAATTTTTCATTTGTAATATAAGGTAGCTAGCTAATGTAATTATTAAGGAATCTTCCATTTCTAAAACTTTGGAAACCAGTTCTTTAATACTGTGCTGTGAACCTTTCTTCTTTCTACCTGCATTCATAGACAGCACACATATCCCCAGATTTGCTCCTACTGGGTGTTATTTCAAACCCGTGGACTATATCTGGAAGTGAGGACTTATGGTAATTACTTATATATGTCAAAGAAGGCATAATTACTAAATTAGAACTATTAATGTAGTTCTTCCCAGACTTTGTCTGATTCACTTTCCAATTTAGCAGTTTTGTGCTTGGTGCCTGATCTTCATGATCAGTGTTTTACTAGCCAAACATAGATCTTCCTTTTTTATCTGATTTTATTGAAATTTGATCTATTAATTCTTACTACATTATAAGTAGTTTTTGTGACTCCTCCAAAACTGTCATGGCAGAAACTGAGTTTGACAAAACAATTGAGATAGAAATTAAGATGGAAAATACCTGTGAAGAATATATTAATAGTCCCCCCACCTGGTCCATTCTTAGATGGTGCATATGATTGAAAGATTTCCTGGAAGAGATATCATTTCTAAATAAATTGGGGCTGAGGCTTGGAGTGTGTGGGGTGGAGCAAAATAAAAGACAGTGAATGATGATCAGAAGGTCATTCTAGTCACAGGACAAGGAGTACAGAGAATGAATAGAGTGCATCTAGGCTTTTAGTTGCAGGAAACATCAAAGGCACAGATAGGAGGAGAATATCAAAGACTAAAACATAAAACCATGATTCCATGGCTTTTGGAATGTATAAAGAATTTTATTATTTAGATGCAGTTTCTTTTACCATGCATTTATTTCTTTTCTACTGGCATCAGCAGGGGTAGGAGTGACTAGAATGAAGATTTAATCATCCTCCTTTTTTAATCAGAGCAGTTACCCTGTACTCCCATGGGAAATAACTTTATTAACTATATAGTACAGTACTTATGTATAGTTCCTTTAGTTCTTAGTGTTATATTCTCTACTCATTTCCTAAGTTACCTAAATTTCCTAAGTTACTTAGGTAAATTTTTGCCCACTTCACTCTTTGTTTCCTCTTACTAGAATCTAAAATGTGGAAGAGAAAATTTTCTCCTGGTATTAGACTTTTTAGAATTCCTAGACTAGACTTTTTAGAATTCCTTGAGACGGATCCTGGACTTGGAGTTAGACTGCCGTGACTTAAATCCTATTTGTGCCACTTATTAACTGTGTGACCTGTGATAAGGAATTCACTTCTCAGAGCCCTGGTTTCTTTCATTCTTGAAATGGGGTGATTATACCTCAAAGAGTTATTACAGGACTTAAATAGCTAAGTCCTCTGGCCATGGACTATCTTGTGAGCGATAAAGCACAATACCAATTATTAATCATTTTAATTAGATTTGGTAGAATAAACAAAAATTATCTTTTCATCTGTGTCAATGATTCTACAATCATAAACTTCATCATAGTATGCTAGAAGCCATCTGCTGTGAGCCAGTTCACCTCAATTGACCCACAAACCTGTTAGCCTTATAATCCTAAGAAGAAGAGAAGTTTTATAACACTGCAACTTGATTCGTATTGATTTACCACTGTTTACTTCTGTTTGTGAGAAACCCAGTTGTGATTTACAAAGGATGGTTTTAGGCTGTAGATATGATCACATCTCTGGCTATGCTGTTACCATTGCTGAAAGTAAGCCACACTGATAGTCCTAGACCTAGTGCATGTCTGTGAATTTATTTTGGTTCTTTTCTGTTTTGTAGATTGTACTGCATCACATTGCCAATGTAGAGAAATTGCCTATCACTAGCCTGGGCTGTCCCCTTATCCTCCGCTGCAAGAACTTCTGGGTGGCCCACTTTGTTTTAGACTCTCACATTGTGTGCCATGATGTTTATAATTTGCTGCTCAATCTTTCTCAGCCAGGTAGGTATGACAGTATTTTTAGCCTAAATCATTTTAATTGTTTTTCCCTAGAATGGTATAATAGAAAGATCATGAGCTATGGAGTTAAACAGAACAGAGTTTGGATCTGGGCTCTGCTACTTACCAGCCTCATGGTATTTGGGCAAGTTATATAACCTCTTAACTCAGCTTCTTCATCTGTAAAAGTAGTAATGGAATGTTATTCAGTCATAAAAATGGATGAGATCTTTCCATTTGCAACAACGTGGATGGACTGAAAGGGTATGAGGCTTAATGAAATAAGTCAGCCTTAGAAAGACAAATATCATATGATTTCATTCATGTGGAATATAAGAGACAAAATAAAGAAAGGGAAAAATAAGAGAGGGAGAGAGACAATCAAGAAACAGACACTTAATTATAGAGAACAAACTGATGGTTAACAGAGGGGAGGGGGGTGGGGGGTTGGATTAAATAGGTGATGAGAATTAAGGAGTACACTTGTGATGAACACTGGGTGTTGTATAGAAGTGTTGAATTACTATTTTGTATACCTGAAACTAATAAAACACTGTATGTTAACTAAATGGAATTCAAATAAAAACTAAAAAAAATAAAAGCACATATAATCTTGGGGTGCCTGGGTAGCTAAGTTGGTTGAGCATTCGATTCTTGATTTAGGCTTGAGTCGTGATCTCATGGTTTGTGAGTTTGAGCCCTGCATGGGGCTCTGCACTGACAGTGTGGTGCCTGCTTGGGATTCACTCTCCCTCTCTCTCTGCCCCTCCCCCACTTGCACATACATGCATTCTCTCAAACTTAAAAATCAAAAATCACATATAATCTTTTTTTTTAATATATGGAGGTTTTTTTCTTTATTGACCGCACATAATCTTTAAAAAAAGTAGTGATAGTGTAAGCTCCCTATGGGGGTTGTTTGGAGGTTTAGATGCATTTGTGCATTTTACTCTCTACTTGGTATATAGATGTGTAATAGATGTTATTTTCTTCTCTCTCCCTCCCTCCTTTTAAGTATCAACTTATAAATTATTTGTCAATTCAGGAAGATTGCTTTGGATCAAAATTTGTTACCTATTGTCTTGCAAGCTTTATGTTTGTCCCACTGTTCCTATCCCTACATTCAGTTCCATTCAGAAGACTAGGGCAGTTTTTCAGAGTCCTTAATAATGCAGCTATCCCTGTTTCATCCAGCCTCACAGTCTCATCCCCCAGCCCTATGCCTATGTGGCTAACTCAAAAGCTACCTCTGATTTTAGTCTGTGGAATTTCCATGCTTTTGTGTCTTCCCTCCCATTTTCTTCCACCCTTTCCCCAGAATTTGTTGGAATTTTATTGATAGAGGTTAACTGTCAGTCAACTCAACACCTTATAAGGCATTGGCAGACTCTTCCATCTCTGGAAAAGTTCTTGCCACATAAATTGGTCAGATGCATTACTGATTGAATGTTTAATCTTGTGAAGGGAGGAAGTGGGGTTGACAGGAAGAAGAGAAAAAATGGCCATTTATCAACCAGAAGCAGGTATTGGCCTAACAATTGGAATACAAGAACACTGTAAATGTTTTGCAACATGTTACAATAAGCAAAGCAATTAAGTCATTGAAGCTCAGTTAAAAACTTTTGGTAAGGACCACTTTCCCAGCATGTAAAACCCTAAAGTTTTGGTTCAGTCCATTATCCAGCAATTCACAGGAAACCAGGAAGTATGTCCCTGCTTTGTATTAGTATCACAAAAAATTAAAACATTTTTAAAATAAGACTTTGAAGCAATATTCCAGTTCTTATTCCTCACATAAAGCCAACCTTGTACACAAGTCATTGCCCTGTTTCACAAACATTCCCTTTAGGAAAAGGAAATCTAGACTTTTTTTTTAGCATAATTTGTTGTTCTTTAAGTTTCACTCATTATTACTTTGTTTTCATGTTTATCTCCTCCAGCATTACCTGAAGATCTGTATGCTTTTTCTTATAATCCCAAATCCTCAAAAGAGATGAAGGAAAATGGGTGGAAACTGATTGACCCAATATCAGACTTTGGGCGTATGGGAATACCCAACAGGTACTGGATCATAACAGAAGCCAACAGAAACTATGAGGTATTTTTGTCATTGTTTTCCTTTTGATCCATTTAATTAAGCCAGAAGAATATCAGCAAACAACTTTTTTTTAATATGAAATTTATTGTCAAATTGGTTTCCATACAACACCCAGTGCTCATCCCAACAGGTGCCCTCCTCAATAACCATCAACCACCCTCCCCTCCCTCCCAACCCCCATCAATCCTCAGTTTGTTCTCAGTTTTTAAGAGTCTCTTATATTTTGGCTCCCTCCCTCTCTAACCTTTTTTTTTCCCTTCCCCTCCCCTATGGTCTTCAGTTAAGTTTCTCAGGATCCACGTAAGAGTGAAAACATGTGGTATCTGTCTTTCTCTGTATGACTTATTTCACTTAGCATAACACTCTCCAGTTCCATCCACGTTGCTACAAAAATAAACTCAAAATGGATAAAGGACCTGAATGTGAGACAGGAAACCATCAAAACCCTAGAGGAGAAAGCAGGAAAAAACCTCTCTGACCTCAGCCGCAGCAATTTCTTACTTGACACATCCCCAAAAGCAAGGGAATTAAAAGCAAAAATGAACTATTGAGACCTCATGAAGATAAAAAATCTTCTGCACTGCAAAGGAAACAATCAACAAAACTAAAAGGCAGCCGACGGAATGGGAAAAGATATTTGCAAATGACATATCAGACAAAGGGCTAGTATCCAAATCTATAAACAACTTTTTGAAAAAAGAGAAAAATCATTTATAATCTCTCCTTTTCATTTAACATTAAGCCATTCAACCAGCATTTATTAAGTACCTACTTCACTGAAGACACTGAATCAGAGTTCTCATAGTCTAAAGCATAGGATGCTATGGGAGCATAGATGAAGGATATGGAATTCAGACTGTGAAACCAGAAACAGCTTGATGCTTTGGGAAATAGTCTGGAGAAGAAAATCTATCCTAATTTATATACGGAGAGAAAGAAGAAGGTCAGGAAGTGAATCCAGGTCATGAAGGGCTTCATGGCCTAATTAAGGAATTTGAACATTATCCTGAAGACAGGAGCCACTAGAATATTTTAAGCTTAGAAGGGCATGTAAGTGTATTTGTGTTTTAGAAAGATAACTTAGGTATTGGTGTGGAGAATTTGCTTGAGCTAAGAATGCAGGAGAATGATATGAGAGGTGATGAAAACCTGAACAAAGGCAATAACTATAGATGGAGAGGATGACATGGTTTTAAGAGATAGGTGGTAGAATTGAAAGAACCTGGTGACAGATTAATGAGGGAGTTTAGTATGCATCCCAGGTTTCCTGGTTTCTGGCTTGAATGACCAAGTGGATAATGGATATGTTAGCCAAGATAAGGAACTTAAGAAGAGGGAAACACAGTGTCTTCAGTTTTAGACTTGAGTTCATGGGTGATTAACAGATATCAAGTATTTGATATCAAACATTTGATTCTGGATATTAAGAAAGATCTCTGGGCCAAAATAGAAGTCTAGGAATGTGTTGGGGATTTCCAAGACCATCCCTCAGGTTTAGTGATTCACTAGGCTCACAGGACTCAACGTGTAGTTACACTTGTGGCTGTGACTTATTATAGCAAAATAATATAAAACAAAATCATCAAAGAGAAAACAGGTGAATTCCAGAAAAAAAAAATAGGCATGAGTTTCAGAGTCCTCTCCCAGTGCAGTCACATGCCTAATTTCTCTATCAACAAATTGTGACAATATATGAAAACTGTCATTTACTAAGGAAGCTTATTGGAGAATCAGTGCCCAGGATTTTTATTGGGGCCTGGTAACATAGGCACTCTCTGTTTAGTGTGTACCAAAGTTCCTGATGCCCAGAAGGAAAGCAAGTGTTCAGCAAAGAATAAACCACATTATTTGTACAGTTTAGGCACAGAGAGTCACTATTATCAGTTAGGGAATGGTGGGAAAACTTCCAAAATCCAGGTTCCCAGGCACCAGGCAAAGGTCTGGCCTTGCAAGGACTATCTAAGGATGGCAATTAGACCTTTTGCGATAATTTTCTGCATAGGGAGTCATTGATGTTTAAGTGCTATCTATGAATTGTTGGATCTTTATTTCCAGCATTTTACTATCATAAAAAGACAGTAATTGTGCCTTTCTGGTAATACAGTTTTGAATATCTAGTAGAAAGGAGATTGGTAAGCTGTCACTTAGCAGGGCTATTGGTGAGGTAGCTTATTAGTGTCACACTTGACAAGACTAAGTAGAGATGAGGTGAATTCTTTCCAGTTCAAATATGTGTCTAAGTTACCCAAATTAGGTCTGAAATATCTATGTTGGCACCTTAGATACATGTAGGCTTCTGAGTTGAAATGGAAGCTCCATTTATTTCTGTTTGTATGACCCACTTCTCCAAAGTCTAAGTCCAGGTAAGAGGATGGGTAGAGGTCTTTTTCAAATGTGCTGCATTCTGAGAATATTGACTTTATTAATTTATTTTTAAAACTTTTTATTTATTTATTTATTTATTTAAAAAAAATTTTTTTTAATGTTTATTTATTTTTGAGACAGAGAGAGACAGAGCATGAATGGGGGAGGGGCAGAGAGAGAGGGAGACACAGAATCGGAAGCAGGGTCCAGGCTCTGAGCCATCAGCCCAGAGCCTGATGCGGGGCTTGAACTCACAAACGGTGAGATCGTGACATGAGCTGAAGTCGGACGCTCAACTGACTGAGCCACCCAGGTGCCCCTATTTATTTATTTTAATATATGAAATTTATTGTCAAATTGGTTTCCATACAACACCCAGTGCTCATCCCAAAAGATGCCCTCTTCAATACCCATCACCTACCCTCCCCTCCCTCCCACCCCCCATCAACCCTAAGTTTGTTCTCAGGTTTTAACAGTCTCTTATGCTTTGGATCTCTCCCACTCTAACTTCTTTTTTTTTTTTCCTTCCCCTGCCCCATGGGTTTCTGTTAAGTTTCTCAGGATCCACATAAGAGTGAAAGCATATGGTATCTGTCTTTCTCTGTATGGCTTATTTCACTTAGCATCACACTCTCCAGTTCCATCCATGTTGCTACAAAAGGACATATTTCATTCTTTCTCATTGCCAAGTAGTATTCCATTGTATATATAAACCACAATTTCTTTATCCATTCATCAGTTGATGGACATTTAGGCTCTTTCCACAATTTGGCTATTGTTGAAAGTGCTGCTATAAACATTGGGGTACAAGTGCCCCATGCATCAGCACTCCTGTATCCCTTGGATAAATTCCTAGCAGTGCTATTGCTGGGTCATAGGATAGATCTATTTTTAATTTTTTGAGGAACCTCCACACTGTTTTCCAGAGTGGCTGCACCAGTTTGCATTCCTACCAACAGTCCCAGCACCATTTTTTGAAGACACTGTTCTTCCCCATTGTATACTATTGCCTTCTTTGTCATAGATTGACCATTTTAAGTGTGGCTTTTTTTTCTGAGTTCTCTATTCTATTCAGGTATATGTCTGTTTTTGTGCCAATACCATACAGTTTTGTTTAGTATACCTTTGTGGTATATATTTTGGCCCAGAATTGTGATACTTCCAGCTTTCCTCTTGTTTCTCAAGATTACTTTGTCAATTTGGGTTGCATACAATTTTCAGGATTATTTGTTCTAGTTTTGTGAAAAATGCTTTTGATATTTTGGTAGGGATTGCATTAAATCTGTAGATTGCGTTGGGTGGTATTAAGATTTTAACAATATTCTTCCAATATACGGGCATGGAATATATTTCTATTGTTTATGTCAAATTCAATTTTTCATCAGTGTTTATGTTTTTCAGGATACAGTTCTTTTACCTTTTGTTTTAGTTTATTTCTACAAAGTTATTTTATTATTTTGATACAATTGTAAATGGAATTGTTTTCTTTTTCTTTCTGCTACTTCATTATTAGTATATAGAAATGATACTGATATCTGGGTATTAATTTTGTATCCTGAAATTTTATAGAATTAATTTACTACTTCTAGTAAGTATTTGATGTGTATTCTAGGATTTTCAATGTATACTACATGTCATCTGCAAATAATGACAATTTAACAACTTCTTTTTTAATATGGATGCCTCTAATTTCTTGTTTGATTGCTGCAGCTAAAACTTCCAGTACTATGTTTAATAAAAGTGGCGAGAGTAGACATCTTTGTCTTTTTTCTGATGTTAGAGGAAAAGCTGTCACTTTTCCACCAGTAAGATGTTAGCTGTGGGTTTTTCAATATGGCCTTTGTTATATTGAGGTACGTTCTTTCTAAACCCACTTTGTTAAGAGTTTTTATCATGAATGGATGTTATATTTTTTCAGGTTTTTTTCTGCATCTATTTAGATGATCATATGATTTTCATCCTTCATTTTGTTGATGTGGTTTATCACATTGAGTGATTTGAGAATATTGAATCATCCTTGAATCCCTGGAATAAATCCCACTCGATCATGGTGAATGATCCTTTTAATATATTGTTGAATGCAGTTTTCTGATATTTTGTTGAGGATTTTTGCGTCTAAAGTTTTCATCAGGAATATTGGCCCGCAGTTTTTTTTGTTTGTTTGTTTGTTTGTTTGTTTGTTTGTTTTTGTTTTGTTTTTTTATGGTGGCTTTGTCTGGTTTTGCTATCAGGGTAATGCTAGCCTTGTGGAATGTATTTGGAAGCTTTACTTCTTACCCTATTTCTTGGAATAGTTTGGGGAGAATAGGTATTAACTCTTCTTTAAATGTTCAGTAGAATTCTCCTGTGACTTCATCTGGTCCTGGACTTTTATTTTTTAGTATTTTTTTAAAATTACCTATTCACTTTTTCTTACTAGTAATCTGTTATGATTTTCTTTTTCTTCCTAATTCAGTTATGGAAGCTTTTTATGTTTTTAGGAGTTTACCCACATGTTCTAGGTTGTCTAATTTGCTGCTATATAATTTTTCATAGTATTCTCATAATTCTTTGTATTACTGTGGTGTCAGCTGTTAATTTCCTTTTCTTCAGATTTTATTTACTTGGGTCATTTCTCCTCTTTTTTCTTATTGTCT